CCCTCCCCCCACATTGTCACTATGGAGATTGTGTCCATGGAAACAGCCATTCCAACATCTTGTGTCTGTCTTTCCTGTGATGTCACCAGTTTGAGTGATGTGAGAACATAGGAAGGAAGTGCTGGCATGGGCGGGGCGGGGCGGGGCGGGGTGTGGGCCGCATGGCAGGAGGACTCCATCCCATGTCTCCATCTCCTTCTTATCTCCACAGTCTCACCTGGAAAACAAGCAGCAGACACCAGGTGTTGGGAGCTTCCGTGAGGCCACGGCAGTGGGAATGGCTGCGGCAGGAATCTCGTGCTCAGACCTGCCTGTAGATGTGCTGCCAAATCACAATAGTCAGAACCAATGCTGGCACTACCCTGTGGCTGTGGACCACAACACGGGAAAAGGAAGCCACAGAAGGGACAGTACGGGAGAGGACTCACCAGGGCTGGTCCCTGCTGGAGAGGGCAGGACTGTGGATATGTGCCAGCTAGCATGGCAAACACTGAGGCCTGCGCCTGGGCCTAGCACCTATGGCTCAGCCCTCACACACATGGCTGGAAGGTACTCATTGTCACTGAAACCCGCATCACCCACCCAATCTACGGAAGGATCTTTTCACAACCATGTCACAGCTGCCTCTGGTTGATAGAGCCAGTTCTTTGTGGGGAAAAGAACACTTCCACAGCCTCTGAAGGGAAGGTGGGGCAGGCCTCAGCCTGTTTTCTGGAACTGGCAAAAGAGTGAGAGGTGTTACTCCTTCCAGCGTCTTAGGAATCTGAGATACCCTAGGCCCCTGGCTTCTCTCTTCTAACAGTTCATTTGGGGAGTGGGGGGGGGGTCTTATGACCCATGTAGGAACAACAAATTGTCCCCAGGGCTGCCGAGGAGTGCTTCATGGTCTCGTGTGCAGAGGTCTCCGACTGACACCGTTGTTTCCAGGGCATCAGTCCAGGAAAACGACACCAAAAGCCTTTCTAGATGGCAGCCACTCCCATCCTTGCCTTCTGGGCCACTGCACCCTTAGCACCTGTGTCTCCCGGGGTTCCTCTTTCTCAAGCCTCTCTTGTTCAGATGAACTTCAGGGAAGTTCAAGATCACTGTCCCATACCTGCTTCCACAAAGATTACTAATAAGCAATAGTTAAGAAGGCTGGTGGTATGTGTGCTAAGAAGGCACCACTCATAAGCACCTACATATATACCAGCCTTTGCTAAAAGGAGGCTCCTAAGTGCGTCACAGGAAACACCACAAGGTAGGCAGACCTGTGGCAGAGAGAGCAGGACACCACCACCCCAGGACTCGAGCCCTGAAACTGCAGCCAGCAGCTGACTATCCTGCCATTCTCACAACATGCAAGGCGCACAGTACAGCTCCTACTGTACCATGGTCTAGACTTCTTCCTCTCCCAATGGACCCCTGCTCCACTAGCCCAGGAAGAGTCTTCACTGCATCAGTCATAAGAAAAACGAGAAGCAGCACCAAAGGTCTTGGGGCAACTCTACCACCACCCCAGGAAACAGAGGCCTTTATAAACACAGTACTAGGTCCAGTACCATCAGAAGTACAAGGTATTATACGGTGGCACTAAGGTACTTGAGCCCATCTTCAAAATGAGGAAGCTGAATTCAGGGAGGTGACATTTGTAGCCCAAAGTCACATGGCTAGTTCAAGGCAGGATTAGAGTTTACCACCAACCTGGCTTTTCTAGGCTACAGGGACCCTGTGTCTCACTGCATAGGCCATGACTAAGAGGAGGCTGGGCCCCAGGCCTGGGTCAAATGAGTTCTCTGCCATTCTAAAGATTCCTTGAGTGCTGGTTCTAGAAACACACAGCTGGGTGGCATGTGGCAGTCAGCATGCCCAGCACCTGCTGAGGTATATACCCTTTTCACAGAAGAAACTGAAGCATAAAGACAGCAGGGAGCCTTGGCCTCAGCCACACAGCACATTGTGCACCATTCTGCATGAGAAAGTGGGGTGCAGAGGTCAGGACACACACCCGCTGCCCTTCCCTGCACTGTGTAGGTCCTCAGTAGTGATGGCTTTCTACCATAAGCATGGACCCCAAGATGAGTGCTCCTTGAGAACAGTGACTTATCTCAATGTAACAGCTGAACAGACATGCCAAGAAAAAGAATTTGCCTGCAGGAACAGCCTATGAAGACAACATTCTATATATGTTCAGACTGGACATAGCATGTCTATCTTTTCACTCGAGGTGGCTACTAGAACCTCAGCAGATTTGAAACCCACCCCCATGTGATGAGATTAGGTCCATTATTAGGTACCAGCCTGGGAAGGAGGAGAGTGAAACCACTCTGCTTCAAGTCCAGGGCTGTCACCTGGGAGGGCCCAAGAACGAGTTCAAGGTGACGGCCAAAATCCCCAAGCGATCAGCTCACCAGGGCCCAGATGTTCTCAAATGTACGTCAGGAAAAACCAAGCTCCCAAAGACAACCGTTTTTTGTTTTTGTTTTTTCCCCTGAGCCAGGCCCTCTAGGAGACACTTCAGGAATATGCCTCATGGCCCCTCAGCTTAACTCTGACCATCAGGGCCAGTACAAAGTGACTAACGGAGATGGCAAAGTCAGTTCGAACACAGTGACACACGAGCCCACCAGCCATACAGACGAGCCAACGCAGTTCAAAGACCATCGACACTGCCACCTACTCCCGAGGACCACAGCACCAGACCAGAGGGACAAGCACGCAGGGACTACAGCCCAACAGCTTCTGCAAAGCAGAGCTGATGACAAGGCCTTGCTGCCCGTCCATACAGCTCTACACATTTGTCTTCTTGCTCTAAAGACAAGTAAATGGGTCCCACTCCCCTTCACAGTGCTCTGCTCCCTGCACTGCCAACTCTGCTTCCTGGAAAAGGCAGAGGACCATACTACAGCAAAAGCAAGCAGCACCCCTATTAGGAAGCAAGGGGGCCCACATCCAAACCCAGACCTATCCCACAGCAGGGTACAAGGGGCCTTCTCTAAAGTCAGCATGTGACTCCCTACGAGACAAACATTTCTTGGAAGAAGAAAACCACCATACTTTGACATGAACAACTGTTCCTCAAACTAACAATGACTATTCCAGTAAAAGGCAAAACTCTCTGTTGTAACCAGGGTGAGTGCACCTTCCACATAGACTATCAGGGACATGGTCCTGCCTGAGAGGAACAGGATTAGAATGGCTGTGGATCAAAAGGCCCCCACTTGGTAAATGATCCCACAGAGGCACTTGCAAGACAGCTAGCGCATCTACCTGCTGCAGTGGCCCCCAGTCACCTCAGTCTCTCCTTACAGCCTACTTTTCCTCACCCCTCAGTGACGGAGCAGGGCAGGAAGGATGAAGAGCTGAGCCCGGGAGACTGAAGACCCTCTACTTCCAGAGCCTCGGGTCCTACAACCTCATTCTTGCAGATGCATGCTGTGACAGTCCCAGCCATGCGCCACACACACAACAGGAGACTCAATCACCTGGCACTCTGGTAAAGCTAGATTAATGATAAAGTCTGCTAACTCTGGATTTCCTTCTCTTTGTACTTCTATGAAAAGGAATTCTTCTAAGGGGAAAACATTTTAAGTAATAAAATTTAGAGAATATGCTGTTCTTCAAAAAACACAGACTACAGGCCTTAAGCACTGAAGCTAAAAAGAAGTGGGGGAAAGAGCAGGCTGCAGGCAGGTCCCCACCCAGAGGCTCATCCTGGAAGGTTGCCCCTCTGCCTTCAGGACCACCCTTCAGAGGCTCTTCCCTGAAGAATAACTTAATCGAGAGTAATCCTGATTCCGAGGGGCGGTGCGCAGGCATTCAGGAAGCTAAACAGTAGCTGGGAAAAGTAGTTATCTTATCCTTGTGTTATTGGTCCAGTTGACTAGGTGCCAGTGTGTAGCCTGGGGCCAGCAGAAGTCAGAGGCTATGAGCCAGGCGAGGGTGGTGGTGGGAGCCTGGCAGGCCCCAACTCACCTGTGCTTGCTGTCCATTCCCACGTGCACACTGCCCCCCTCACCCCCGCTCCGACTGCTCTGTGCTGAGGCTGCCTTTCACGGTCTTGTTCTGCAAGGGGGGGAGAGGGCATGGAAGGGGAGGCTGATGCCGGCCAAAGCCAAGAGACAAGAGGGACAGGACAGAGGACAGAGAGTGGGAGGTAAGAAAGGAATGGAACATGAAAAAGGAAAAAAAAAAAAAAAAAAAAAAAAAGCAGAGTCAGTACTGAATGACACACGGGAGGTGCTGACAGGGCTTCCAGAGGCCTAATGTAAAAATAGAGACTACTATGTGAGCCTAAGATACAGCTCTGAAAATTACTCTTAAAAGAGTAAGAGTCTTTCAGGAGTATTCCGAGGACAGACCTCTACAGACAACTCTTCCTAGTACTTTCTGGCACTGCTTGGGAGACTGAATGGCCACCAGGTGTCAGTGTGACCACAGCTAGGTCAGGCATGACTGCAACACAGAGGGCTCCGTTCTGCTCCTCTTCATTCATCTCACCCCCTTCCGTAGTATCTCAGAAACATCTTTCCATCCTTCAAAAGGGAGGGGACCAGTCACCTACACACTGAGTAATGGGCAAGTGGCAGCCCAGCAGTTACACACTGTTGGGTTGTTTCTGCTGCTCTACAACCTGGGGGAGAGAGAGAGAGCTTCCCAGATCTCTGGAGCTGGCTCTCTGTTTTCTGAGTCTGAGAAATGTTTCTGAACCAGGACTTGCATTTCACTGCGATCAACATGTGAACTACGGTTCTACAAAACGCAGCGGAGATCAAGTTTTCGTTGAGTCTGGTCTTCTAACTTCTCTTAAGGAACAGACACACCTCTCAAAACCCTTCACTCTCCCCAACCCACACACCATGAAGGATGGTGGCCTCTATGCCTTGTGTTTTCCTTCAGCACTGTGACCCTCCACCATCCAAAGGTCAGGAGAAGGCTAGCACCCCAATGTGCAGGCATGGATGAAGTCCTCCAATGCCTGGGGCTTTGATCTTTCAAGGCGAGCCTCCCTGTTTTCCAGTCCAACAGCCAGCCCCCTGGGAACAAAGGCTTCTGGGGTTTTGTGACTTACCTTGTGCTTGGGGCACCTCACCGAGAAGTTTTCCTCATGAAGCAAACAATCTGTAAGACAGAAAAGACCGTCAGATAAGCCTGTGCATGCTTGTCTAGCTGGACTGAAGTATGGTAAAGTACAGACTGACAGAATGGACACAGGAGGCCCCACATTGCAGATGGCTTCCTGGTCTCTGCCTTCCTCCCCCGCTTCCATCCATATATTTTCAATTTTTATCTATATGAAAAAAACAGTACTTGTGGAAAGCCAGAAGACATCAGACACACTCAGTGCTCCCTGCTTTGTTGTGTCTAGTGGGTTACCCAGGGAGATTGTAGGTGCTCACACAGGGGCTCGACTCCAGACCCTATCAGGCTACCCTTTCTCCCCTCTCAGATAAAGCATTTCGAATAGCTTCAGATCTGTTTGGCTTTCAAGTCACTAAACACTAAAAATGTTACATCATTTGGATCTGTAACTTAGATACACTGTAGTTTTTTGTTTTTAATTATTTCTTAAGCACACTGTGATTTCTAACAAGAAAACATTAGTGACATCCAAAATAAACTATGGTAACACAATGTCACAAAAAAACTAATATTTTAAAATAGTGAATGATATGAGTAAAGATTAATGACATGAAACTGCTCCAACAGCCAGGATATACATTTGTATAAGTAAACTTCAAATTTCATTGAAATGTTTATGGCACGTTTTTTTAAAAAGACCGAAAGAAAATTATCAAAATGTATCGGTGGCTTTCTTTAAATACAGGTGATTTTCATTTTAAACATTTTTTTCTGTATTTCCAATCAAAGACAATCTTCAGTGTTCAGCTAACTCCATTCCACAGGCTCAATGCAGGGCCTACTTATAAAAGCCCTGGAAATTAGCCAGGCGTGGTGGTGTACGCCTTTAATCCCAGCACTCGGGAGGCAGAGGCAGGCGGATCTCTGTGAGTTCAAGGCCAGCCTGGCCTACGTAGTGAGTTTCACGCCAGCTGGAGCTGCAAGGAGACCCTTTTTCCATAAAGACAAAAAACACCAAAACTGGAAATGGAGAGCCCCCCTTTCTCCTCTGTATAGAAAGCCCAGGTGTTCAAGATAGAAGTGGCCAGGCCTGAAAGCCCTGCTGTCACCTGCATCCCACGGCCCCCGGAGCACAGGAGACACCCCGACATGACCACATGATCTGCAATGAACGCTTCACAAGAGGAGTAAAGTCCCATGAGGGTGCTTTTAATCATGAAGGAAAAATGATGCGTTCCAACTCTTAACATGGTCACAGCATTCCTGATGACAGCCAGGACACGCATGCGTCTAGGTAAGTTGAGCTCCAAGGCACAGGGGCAGTGTGTGGAGCAGGACAAAGAAATCTGCTTAATGTGTTCATTTTGTACAGCACAGCTCTGACAACCAGGCCACTGGGTGTGGGACGTGAAAGCAGATATGTTTACCAACACCGAGCATACCCTCAGCTCTCAGGCACAACAGCAGGAGGAGGCCATATACTTACCCTTATTAAGTTTACTATTTAGTCCATTTAAACCGAAATCACACTTAGCATCCTGCATATCTACAGACTTCAAGTGAAATCGTACATAATAAGCAAAGGAAGACATAAAAACAACTCAGATCCTCAGTGTCCTGAATAAGTGAAGACACTTATCTGCACCACCTGCTTTTGGAGTACCAGACCATCTAACAGGGTGGAGCCAGCAACTCCTTCGAAGAAGGCCTAAGCACTCAGCAAGGTGCCACTAACCTCCAGGCTCCTCCTCCAGCATGCAACAAGCATGGCAGTGAATGAAATGTGGTAATTTAAAACCCACAAGTACAAAGCGTGACCAAGACTCCCACTGTCCAACCTGCCAGCGAGTTCAGGATCAGCAGGAGACAGACACCTGGAGCGTGGGGAAGCACTCACCTTACCTGGGCTCTGGTGCTGCCAGTCTCTAGCCCAAGTCAAAGAGGAACAGTGCTGCACCTATGGAGCTGGTCTGCCTTGATGCCACCGAGTATACAGAACTGGGGATGGAGGCCATGCCAGTTGCAAAGGGCACAATGAGGAAGGCACAGGTGGCTCATTTGTCCTCAGATCACAACAGTGACCAGTTGTGACAGACCATTAGTAAAATATGCTACTACTTTTTAAAGTCAAGAAATGCCTTTTCTGAGTTAAAAAAATAACAACACAAGTTCACATGAAGGGCAGACTGGAGCAATGCCAGGCACTTCTGAAAATGGAGGGCTCCTTAAAGAGACTTCCAGACAGCGCCCACCTGTGCCCTTGCAGAAACGCCATGTAGACAGGGTTCTTTTCTGCTCTCATGGAGATCTGCACATCATCAGAAACTGTTGTAGTTTTATTCCAAGCAGGAGTTAGGACAGAGCTTGAGAGCTCAGAGGCCTACAGGGCACAGGAAAGGTTCTTCTCTGTGGCATCCAACCAGGTGCCACTGAGGCAGGAGGAGCAAAGAGAGGAAGTGCGGTGAGAGCTCACTGAGAATTCTGACAGCTGTTGGACTGCACATGGTCCGTCAGCAATAATCGCCTGATCTGTTTCTTCCTTAGAACCTACTCTACACAGTCCACAGGGCCTGGTCAGCATGCCTACAGGGTAAATCAAAGCAAACAGCTTCCTGGATCACCACTAAGCCGGGAAGGACTCCTAAGGTGACTTCCAGAAACAGCTGCCACCCCCTTGCCGCCTCCAGCAGAGAATACTCCTCCTTCATTACACTCTAGGCTTAAAAGCCAAGCTGATTTTGCCGAGCACTTCCTAACAGACTCCATAGAGCTCGGGCACACCATTCATACAGATCCCAGGCTGAGTATGGTAGCCTTAAGGAAGAACTAGAAGAAGCAAGAGGTTGACAGCATGTCCTCTCAAACGCTGATACTGGACACGGTCACCAGCTTGGCCACAGTCTACCTCAGCACTATTAACTCATACTAGTATAGACAGCAGAGCCCTGCTGCTGAGCCACTAGAAATGGCTTCTTTGATGCAGACACAAGCCCCCTGTGTCTTGTGACGACCCACACTGGGCTTTGACCCCGCCACTGCAAGATCAAAGGCTGCAGCAGAAAGGGCAGCTTTAGGATGCTGCTGCAAAGGTGGCTTCAGAGAGTGGAGTTCCCACTGCGTCTCTGCACAGGAGGAAACCCCGCAGGCAGGGGCTTTCTGCTCACCGGCACCACTCATGAGCTGCCATGTCCTTTCTCTGGCTGTCTTAACAGTCGTGTGGCTCACTGCACTGAGTACATTAAGCATTTCTCACAGTCAGAGCTCATGTTCTTGCACTGCATCCCCCACCTGCAGCCCAACTCTCAAGCCTGTGACACGACAACTAGCACAGAGGAACTGATGGTGATGTCAGAAATGTGGGATGACATCAGGTGAGGGAGTTGCAGGAGTCACAGATTCTCCTGAGACAAAGACTATTTCTATTTTCATGGAGACATCTCAGCAATCGAAGTTTTCCCCGAGACATTAAGAGCTCTTTGAAGATTTGGCTGTGGACAACAAGACAGAGATGAAAACATTGTGCCACTCCTTGCCCTACCAAGAGAGTAGGGCGCAAACCCAAGAACTCACCTTGATTATAAAGAGAAACCCAATCAAGGACACCTTCCCTAGACATGCTACATCACCTAGAACAGGATTTTTTAAAACATTTTTTAGTTTTATGTGCATGAGTATATTTCCTGCATGTGTAAGTGCACCTGAGTCACGCAAAGCGTGCGGAGGTCAGAGTGGATGCTGGAAGTCAAACCCAGGTCCTCTGCAAGAGTAGCCAGTGCTCTTAACTGCTAAGCCATCTCCCCAGCTGGAGGACCAAGAGTTCATACCTCACCTCCGAATCAGGACCTCTTGCTGAATACTTGACTAGCTTCAGTTAAATAGAGATGCTATTAGCTTAACAGGACAGGAACACATGATAGGCTGGAACAGAAAGCAAAAGGCATCACTTACTGACCCTCGGGTAATGAAGGAGAGTTTGCTTTCAAAGAGATGGTTTGGCAAGTTTCCATCAGAGACAAGTATTCCCACTGCCTTCTAAGAATCCCAACCATATTGCCTGAGCTTGTTCAAGGTGGCTCTGAGTCAACGATCTGAGCCATACAAATCCATTTGAATGGAAGTTTAAATGTGTTCTAGTCCCACCAGCCACATTTCGAATCTTCAATGATCCCATCTGCCTGCGGCTACTATCCTGGAGCCTGAGGAGCTAGAGCACTTCCATTACTGTGGAATGTTCCAGTGAGCAGTGAGCTTGATTCCTTGAGAAGTTGTACCAAGAAGCAGACCAGAACAGGGAGCGGCACCCACAGGGTCCTTGCCACTGCCAGCCCGGCTGAACAGCTGCCACTGCAGCTATGATGTGTATGCCTGCAGCACACGAGGTCACCTACCTGACTTGTGCACTTCTGAGCACGGTACTGACTGAGACAGCCAATCACACAGATTCCCCATTCACAACAATTACCCCAAATGTGACACTTAAGACTCCTTATTAAAAAACCAAGAAGGTTCAAGTGAAGGAAGCCAGACAGTTTGCTTAACTACAGGCAATACAACGAAAACACAAAGTTGATGGGGTGACTCAAGATTTGACAGCTGCACTGCAGACTGTGCCTGAGCATGATGGGGGCGGGTGGGGGGGCACAGCAGCTCAAACACCATGGAGACTTGTTAAGAGGGAGAATGAGGCCAGGTGTGGAGGTGCATGCCCATGCCCTTAACTCCAGCACTTGAGGGGGAGACAGAAGGACTGCTGGTTCAAGGTTGCCCTTGGTGACATAGTGACTTTGAGGCCAGCCTGGGCTACATGAGATCCCATCTCAAAAATTGAGACAAGACAGAGCAGAGGTAGAGTATGGAGGGAGACTAGGACCATGACCATCCCAAACCCAATCCTTTCAAACAGTGCTTCAAGGCTCTTTACTTCCCACCCATCCCCTTAATCAAACAGTGCCTTTGCCCATGAAGCAGCTCTCTGGGGAGTTGACAGCCCTGCACTGCAGGGTCAACGGTGGGATCCTCTGCACACCAATGCCCTTACTCTGCCTGTCTTATGCCTATGCCTGTTCCTGTATCTGGTAAGCCATGGCCTCTGCACTAATTGCTGCCAAATCCAAACCAAATCCCATCTGGTAACAGAGCAACCACCTCTCCAGATAGTTCCTCTTCCCATCTGAGAACCCAACACACACTCAGGGATAACAAATGCCTGCTGAGTACTTGCTAAATTCTTGCTTTTTCTATTTTCCTTTCCCTTCACTCTGACTGCAGACATTAGGAGGGCCAGAGGGCCCTGAGTACACCTCATGTCCAAAAAGTAATGGGAGAAACATTCACCGGAGAGACTGAAGTCTTCCGACAGCGGGTTTGCTGAAGCTGCATCACCTCTCATGAGATGGCACTACTGCCCAGGTTCCCTCCTTTCAGCAGCTCCACACTGCAAACACCACCCTCTCCATCTCAACAGAGGAAATACAGTATTTCCAGGAGAGTTCCAGGAGAATTTGGGGAGAACTGGCAGACATATGGAGGTACCTGGAGGGTGGTGTGCCTCGGACAACACAGATGCTTCATGCCCCTTCCCACTGAACTACTTCACCTTCCCCATCAGGTTGCTCATCTGCATTTGTACATGTGTGCATGTGCCTACCCACCACATGCACATTCAGAGGCCACAGGAACATGTCTGGTGTCTTCCTTTAGTGCTTTCTACCTTATTCCCTTGACACAGGATCTCTCACTGCACGGGAAGCTCACCACTCGTTAAGCTGACTGTTGAGGGAGCTCCTGGGATTCACCTGTCTCCATCCTCAATGCACTAAGTGTTGGGGACTCCAACTCAGGTCCTCATGGTTGCAGAGCAGGTCCTCTTACTCACTGAGCCATCTCCCCAGTCATCTGCCTGTATTCTTTACATAAGTAATAAAACAAAGTACTTACTGGAATTCTGTACATGGCTCTAGCACATCAATGAAGCCTTAAGTGGGGGTCCTGGAAACTTGGTTTATAGCTGTTCATTTTGAAGCAAAGTCACAATGAGAAGCTTGAGACCAGGATGTGAGGTACGGTCAGTCTTGTGAGACTAAGCCATTAATCTATGGGGGTCTGCCCCAATTCTGCTTAGTGTCAGAATTCCCTTTACACTGTAGGACACACAGTTGGTACTCACTGAAGACTGGTGAGTAAACAGCATGAAGTGTGTGGCAAGTGGCATGACAGATTGGTTCTCCCTCTCACACACCACCTTTCATGATAAAAATGCTCCACAAACTGAATGCATCTCCCTCCATCAAGAATGCCCACTAGTGAGCACAGCTACACACAAGTGCATATTACATATGTGCCACCACATACCTAAAAAAGGGGCAGCTGACTTCCTATTTCATGACAGAGGAGCCAGGTAAGGCCGCTCTTCATAGTCTAGCCAACATTCCACTGAAGGGTCCAGCAATGTCAATTAGGTAAGAAGGGCTAAGACGACCGTGGTGATAACACCTGCAATCCCAGCTCACAGCAAACTGAGGTCGGAGGGTTACAAGTTTGAGGTCAGCCTGGGCTATAATAGCCAGGCTCTCTCAAAACAACAAAAAAGTCAAGGCATCAGATTTGGAAGAAGTAAAACTATCGCTATTCACAGATGCCATGGTCTTGTATGTAGATAGACTACAACTACTAGAACTAATTAACAAGTTGAACAAAGCTATTGGATACAACATCAATATAGAAAGTCTACTGTGTTACCATATACTCACAGTGAATCACACAAAAAAATAACGTTTAGGAAAAAAAATAATAAATTGTGCAAAAATTAATACCTTGAAAACAATGAAACATTTGAAATTACATGATCATGGATTGGAAGACATAATATTGTTAAGATGAGAAAGTACTGTCATCTTTTTAAGTTAGCAAAGTAGGGGCTGGGTAGATGGCTTAGTGGTCAGAGAGCAGGCTTGCTATACAAGCACGCACAAAGACCTGAGTCTGGATCCCCAGTGCCCACACAAAGATGGGTGTGAGCAAGCACGCCTGAAACACCAGCACACGGCAACACTAGCCCTGCAACAATAGAGGTCATGGGGACCTGAGGTCACTGAAGATGCTGCTGCTGAAAACCAGTGAACTCCAAGTTCCGTGAGAGACCTCATCCCAAGGGAGTAAGGTCAAGCATGATGGAGCAGGGCAACCTGACTGCTTCCTCTTACCTTCATGCAAGGGATTAGTGAGCATAGCTACATACGAGTGCATATACATACATGCCACCACATACCAAAAACAGGGGCAAAATAATAGGTTTCATTACATGTGGCGTTTCATGCCTACTTTGTTGTTGCTGACCCTCCCTGTCCCTTACTTCCTGCTGTGCTTCAGTAGACCCACCCCATTCTCCCATCAAGGTATTCTATTACTCTCCCCTCCAACAGCACCCTTTTTAGTTTCATGACCTGTCCATACCCACATCCACCTAAATTAAAATCTAGAATCTGCAGGAGAAAAAATGTATAGAATTTGTTGCCGGGCATGGTGGCACATATCTTTAGTCCCAGCACTCAGGGGGCAGAGGCAGGCAGATCTCTGTGAGTTCAAGGCCAACCTGATCTACATAGTGAGCTCCAGGCCAGCTGGGACTAGAGGGAGACGCTGTCTCAAAAACACCAAAATAAAATATAGTATTTTTCTAATCTGAACTACTTTTCTCAATATCATTTCCACTCATTTTTCTGCAACTGAATACATTGATCTAAAGACTCAATGACAATACCTATCAAAACTTCAACAGCCTCCTTTTCACAGAAATGGGTAAACTGATCCCGAATTTCATATAGAAAATTAAGAGACCTGGAATAGTCAGAAAAATATTAAACAATTTTCCAAATTTATTTTTCTTTCCATCCACCTCCCCCACCCCCCACCCCCATTCACTACAGTACTTGCAGACTGAACCCAGGACCCTGTACATACTAAAGTGAGCACTCCATCATTCCCAATTTCAAAACCGACTACAAAGCTACAGTAATCAAGACAGTGGAGTACTGAAGACAACCTAGAATTAAGTCTGTATATCCATGGTCAGCTGATTTCCAACAAAGGTGCCAAGATCATTCAATGAAGAAAGAACAGTTATTTCTATAAACAGCTCTGGAACTGGAGAGCCACATGAAAAAGAATAAATTTGAACTGTCTATTTTGTCCTCAAAATAGATGAAACTTAAAATAGATCAAAGATGAGGCTGGAGAGATGGCTCAGTGGTTAAGAGCACTAGCTCCTCCTGCAAGAGGACCTGGGTTCAATTCCCAGCACCGACACAGTGGCTAACAACCATCCGTAACTCCAGTTCCAAGGAGTCTGACGCCCTCTTCTGACCTCCACCAGCATTGTACAACAAGGGTGCATTTATATACATGCAAGCAATATACTCATACACATAAAATAAAAATAAAATATAAGAATAGATCAAAGACTAAAATGTAACGCTCAAACTATAAAACTCTCAGGAAAACGATATCAATCTTCATATTTTGGATTGGGCAATGATCAATATGACATCAAAGGTAAAGGTAACAAAAGGAAAAAATAAATTTGATTTCATCAACAAGCAAATTTTTGCTGGGGAAGTAGCTCAGTTGGTAGAGTGCATGCATCATATTCTGGGTTCCATTGTCAGGAATAGAACGCAGAGTAGGCCTTGTGGTACACGCGTATAATCTCAGGACTAGGGAAGGGGAGGCAGGAGGCAGTCATCCTCAACTACATAGCAAATTAGAGGCCAATCTGGGCTACATGAGACCCTGCCTCAAAAAAGGAAGGGAGGCAGGAAGGGGGGAAGAGGGAAGGGGGAGGAAGGGACACCTTCAAAAAAGTGAAACGAAAATTCAGAGTAGAAAAAAATTTGCAAGTATCTGATAAGGGGGCTTGAATACAGAATATGCAAAAACTTCTTAGAACCTAACAATAAAAAGACAAAGCAACTAAACAATAAAGTTCAACAGCGGACAATGAGCTGGAATAGACTCTCTAAATGAGGTTACAAATGGCCAGTGAGCATATGAAAAGTGCTCAATGTCATTTGTCACCAGAGAAATACAAATCAAAGCCACAGTGACATCATTTCACACCCACTGGTGGCTAGGAGTAACAAACTCAGATAGTAAGAGAGTAAGGATGCTGAGAGACCAGAATCTAGTATACTGCTGGTAGGAACATAAAATGTGTGTCCACTTGGAAAAGCCACGTGGCAGTTCCTCAAAAGGTTAAACATGGAGTTACCACACTCAGAGAATCAGAACTGCTCATCCACACGCAGACTTGCATATGACTGTGTGGCAATACTACCCATAACAGTGAAAAGGGGAAAGTGAACCCCACGGCCCGTCAGCTGAGGCAAGGGTAGGTCAAGCACCGAGCACCCTTTCCAATAAAATTGTTTTGGAATGGCAATGGAGCACTAATACACTCTGCAACATGGATGAGCCTTAGAAACACCAAGTTTCTACGGTCAAATACTACACAATTCCATTTACATGAAATGTCTACAGTAGGCAAATCCACGGAGACACAAAGTAGACTAGCAGCTGCCAATGGCTGGAGAGAGGGGAAGGAAGGTGCGTGAGTGCTGACGGTCTGCAAGGTGATCAAAATGTACATGTTAAAATCTACTGGAGTGATGGCTGCTCAACTCCATGAACATATAAAAACTACCGAATTATAGTACACTTAAGTAGGCAAATCTTATGTGAATTAGATGAACGAAACTGCTACTGGAAGCCACCCATGCTGCTCTGCACTCCGCACTTTTAGAATGACAAATGAAGAGGGACAGAAAGGCTCAACAGAAGGGGAGATGGCAAGCCCACACCTCCTAGCCATCTGGGGCTTTTAACAAGGTCGTGGAGCAGCTTACCTGCGTCGACGGCACATGGGTAATGGTACCGGAAGGAGCAGCCTTTGTTGTAGCAGCCCAGGGTAGCGCCGGCCTCCTGGCAGTGGGAGCATTTCTGCAAGGAAGAAGAAATAGGCATGTCAGTGTTCCAGACCCGCCCTCTCCTGAGGCCTTCCCTGCACCCCACTGGTTAGACCTCAGCATGGCCTCTGTGGTTGGAGGAATCTGTGGTGGTAGGATGGGCTGGTCGATCTCTAACCACCATTCACTGACTACACCATGGGAAGAGATCCAGCAGTGTGTTTTACAGCCAGCCTCAAGAATGACCTCAAATCAAATGCAACAACACACTAGGGCAAGATATGGAACCCTACAGCACACACTGGACACACCAGAGGGCATGGCACCCAGCCCTGCCCCTGTGTTCACCCACTCGCATGCTGTACTGGTAAATTCCTCCCTGCTACTGTGAACTGCCTGCAGATCCTGCCTCTACTTCTGCCATCGAAATCTGGTGTACGAGGAAAGAGTTATGGTGGTAGATACACACGCATGTGCATGTCCATACCTTTTAGAATTAAAGGTAAAATTTGGTTTCTAGTTCTAATTAAGATTTTTTATCTACTTATCCCAAACGCCCAATATAAGTGTATTTCTCTTTAGAAGATATGGGCTTCCCGTATGCAAATGGTATTTTTAAACATGAATCCTATTTTAAATGCACTAGGAAACCTGCCATGAATTTCTGGCTAAGCAAGACATTATTCTGTCATGGTGATGTTCCTCCTGATGCAGTCAGGCTTTCTTAAAGTGGGGTAATCTCTGCTATCTCTCTGATGTGGCTGCTGTGAGTATGCATTCTGTTAGCATGGGAAATTAGTGTCCCATCAACAACATCCACAAAATGCAACCATGTGGCCCTACTGAGGAAAGATGCAACTCTTCATCCTTCCTGAATGTCATAGCCAAAAGATACAAACACTCACCCCAGCTTCTGTTTTTAAACAATTTATTATTTTTATTGTATGTATATGAGTGTATGGCCTCCGTGTAAGTGTACTAGTTGTGCAATGCCCACAGAGGACAGAAGAGGGCATTGGGGCCCCAGAAACTGGAGTTAAGGATGTTGTTGGCTGCCATGTGGGTGCTGGGATTCAAACCCAGGTCTTCTGTAAGAGCAGCCAGTGCTCTTAACTGCTGAGCCATCTCTCCAGCTCTCGTCCCTGATTCCATGAAAAACAAAGTAAGTATGTGCCCTAGACCATCTGAGCAGGCTCAAGCTCCCAGAACACTGGCAACTTTGGGGCCTAAACGCTCAGCATGTGTCAAACAGTGACAAACATGGATTCATTCATTCACCTGTGGTGGTGGTACCACGTCCACCATGCAAGTGGGATGGGTGAGGTACCACAGGGGCAGTACCTAGCATTAGGCCAGAGCTGAAAACTTCTTGCAGAGACAAATGGTGCAGAACAGGGATGTGCAGCCTGTCTGCCCTCCTCTCAGAAGATCAAGATCCTTTTGGGTGCCCCCACACCCCTGAAAAGAAAGCAAAGATGGCTTAGCCTAGCAACTACCAGGACAGTACAAGCACTTAGAGCAGCTCTAGAGTCTACTTCTGCCTTTGCCCCAGAGCTCCTTCAGGATAAAACACCTCATTGTTGACACAAAGGGACAACATGAGGCCAGTCTGTCCGGGCTGGACTGGCAGCTGGTACTGCTACTGACTTTTTTTACTCCAGGTGAGTGCCCACGTATCAGCTCTTCAGATGGTTTGAGTTTCAGGCCTTCCCCATCTAGAAGATGAATCAGAGCTCATGATAGACATTTAGGAATGGGTGTATCAAACATTTTTGAGAGCTGGGCATGGTGGTGCACACCTTTAATCCCAGCAGAGGCAGGTGGGTCTTTGTGAGAATGAGACCAGGTAGCACCTGGGAGGCCAAGACAAGTCGATCTCTGTGAGTTTGAGGCCAACCTGGTCTACACAGTTGAGTTTTAGATTAGGGCTAAATAATGAAATCATGTCTCAAAAAAGAAACGGGGGGTGGGGAGAAAAGATGTCATCTTCTCGACCTCTGTGAATATAGTCTGTGACCACGAGAAGATAATCCTGACAAAGTTCATCTGCTGGGGTTAGCAGCGGGGAAACACTGGGAGGAGCCTGAACCCATTGTAACACTGCTAAGCACTAAACTAACCAACCTGAAGACCAACCATCTCTAGACTTGTTACAGGAAAACAGCCCCCCACCTCTGCTTTTAAATTTAATTTTATAGTTGATAGTCAGATGTCCTGCCAGATACAGAAGGTGTTGTCTGAAGAGTTGCTGCTCTACAGGGTCTTGATGCATGCACACTTGCTTTGTAAGTGGTTCTACCCGGTTTGCCTTACTTACCTGACAAATTCCTAACCTTTGTCTGGTCAACCTTCAAGGATAGTACTAACAGCTCTCACCTCACAGAAGAATGTTCTCAGTGCTGAATACATTAGTCCAGCCTTAGAATAATGGCTGCACCAGAGCTGCTCAGCGATGTCACCCAAGATGGCCATAGGCCAAGAATCACGCATGTCCTACAGGCCAGTACCGAGACTGCTGACCCTCATCTGAGACAAGGACAGAGAAGACGGAGAGCTGGGATGTAAGGGTCTTCTCCCTTGCCACCTCAACACCTGCTGTTCCAGTCTGTCTCCCTCCCCTCCCCTCCCCCACCCCCTCCCCTTGCAGGGCCTCGTAAAGTAACCTGCTCTGAACCAGCCCACAGACCTTATCTTTTTCATGAAGAAAGCAAACTCAACAGGAAATTACACCAGTAAAATGACTCTTCCAACTAAAAAGCATGATTCACTGACTACATTATATCCCAAAGGAAAACACCAGCAGGGTTTGTTAGGGCCTCAGAGGGGCGCCTTATAGCTGGGTTAGTTCAGTGACTCTCCAAGTGTAGTCTCTGGCCTAGAGCAGCACAAGCAGCAGGGAAGCTGTTGGAAAGGCAAATCCCCAGGCTAGCACAACCTGTGCTCTCAAGAGTCTTCTAAGCAATCATGGTATAGGTTTCAGAACCACTGGCTAGAGTCACCTCCCTACCGTTTTAGATGTGCAGGACACAGGCCCACCGAGATACAATGACTGGCTAGAATCCAAGTTTTCTGACAGCCGTTTAGTGCTTTCTCTACTATACTTCTGTCCCCTACGGAGCGATCTATAGATTATGGGTGTGGAAGGCAAAAATAAGGCCTCCAATGATGCTCCACAGAACTGGAGACCTTGAACATTCTTCAGAGGTGGAAGAGTGTGCTAATCATTGGGGGATGGGGTGTCTCTTCTCATCACACACACGGATAAAAGCAAAGACCCTCTCTCAGAGTGGCACAGGGTTGTAGGCTTCAGGGTCACAGAGGTGTAACAAAGGACCACCGCTAAGGAATATGGCAGCTGTGGAGGCTCAAGGCCAGCCAGCAGTAGCATCCCAGGCCTGGAGAAAGGAGCTGCACCTCAATTCCAGCCTAGTGGATTTATATGGGGCTTGTAACCTGCAGAACTGGAAGGGAACCCGTGTATCACAGCAATGACAGAAAACTAACACCTGGGACTCCTGAGACAGGAAGAAGTGACAGCTGACCATCTTCTCACTCTCCCCAGTGCAACAGATTTCTCCCTCATGGGAAAAACTACAATTTCATTTCCTTTTCATGAAGTCAATTTTGTCACCACAAGATACCCGACAAAGGCCCACTGGGTCTGTCTCCAATGTTTTTACCAGTTCAAGAAATAAAAGCTAAAGAAAGGTGCCTGCAGAGGATCACACAGCTAAAAAGAAGTGAACAGTTTTAGAATTTTAGATTGCAGCTTTTCTTCCTGACTGCAAGTCTAACACTCGGTTTCCCTTCATTCATCCAACTAAAAGGACCTCTCAGGCCAGGTGGTGGCACACGCCATTGATCCCAGCACTCAGGAGTCAGAGGCTGGCAGGTCTTGTGAGTTTGAGGCCAGCCTAGTCTACATAGTTTCAGGTCATCAGGGTTACATAGTGAGACCCTGTCTAAGACAAACAAGCACAATCAGTTGTCAAGGACAGAATAGAAAAATTTCCTTCTCTTAAGTTTTCCGTTTGTCGGAACCATCCCCAAACCTGCACTCTAGCAAGTTTCATTTCCAATTAAGATTTTCATTCCTTTTACCTGAAGGGAAAAAAGAACTTATCTTCATTCGCCCATAGTGCAAATAATTAAAAGTCAGTGCACAGCAAATGTCCTTGACCTTGGCACTACCCCTAGGTGCTGGCCAGACCCAGTGGGGGCTTCAGCAGGATGAGGAAATCTAGACACACTTTTTTCTTTTCTTTTTGTTGATTTTTGAGGCAGGGTCTTAAGTAGTCCAAGCTAGCCCTGAATGCCAACCCTCCTGCCTCCATCTCTCAAGTGCTAGGATTACAGGCATGTGACACTACATGGAACTAGAAGTATTTTCCAAATAGGTTTCTCAAGAAGGAAGGGAATTTTTCATTTTCTTTTAACAGAAGAGAATAAAAATTTTCAGGCAACTCTGACAAAAACCTTGTACTTCTGGACACTGTAAACTTGGGAAATAATGCAGTATTGGTCTTCAAGCAAGTTTAAACAGATGCTAGCTGGCCCTTCACAAGCACCTGTCACTGTCTCAGAGGCAGGGCTTGGTGACCTCAAGTGGCAAACTGCAGGGGCTAAATCAACTAGAAGTATCTCAACTAGGAGCATCTCTGGATACTTGGAGAATCTTACATGCCTCCTCATTCCCAGAACAGCACTGCCCTCTGAGAGGTGATGGCAACCTAAACAATTGTGTTGTCCATGAATGTCTCAGAGTAGCCACAAGTGCTGCAGCAATTGGGTCGGAGCATCACTAAAGCACTGAGGATCAGTTCTGTGCAAGCCTTGCATATCAGACACCTCCACACAGTATCCCACAGCTGCCAGTCAGCACCGTACACTCTGCTCACACTTACAGTAGTTACCCAGTTGTGTCTACACACCCCCTAAACTGAGAAGTCCGGCATCCCCTGGGCCAAGCACACTGAAAACAGGGGTTGATGGGTGGCACTCGAGGTCTGACACATGAGACTTGGAGAAAACAAA